TAATTATTACATCAGCCAATGAAAACCCAGAAAGTCTATAAAACAGTACGTTGAACGGAGCGTTGTCGGATCCTTGAAAACAAAGCGTGAAGACAGGATGTGTATTTCATTCATATTGAATATTGTTTTACTTTTGAATGCGGTATGCTCCTTAACGTAAAAATATTCTGGGGGTTTTTGGCAGTTAAAGTTCAACCTCAGGACAAGGTCAATTTTCATAATTTGCAAACTTGCTATAGACCAAGTGAACTGCACTATGCACCCTTTATAGGGATAATTTTTAAATTGAATTATAATTTAATCTACAAAATTATCTTGACGAGATGGTGACCTTTTTTATGTTTTGAAGTCAAGTCAAGCTTATTCTTGCAATATGTCAAAAATTCTGGCTTTTAATTCCAGAGAGTCGGTGGTCTTACTTCGTTGTCAATTTAATTCCATTGCTAGTTTAGAATAACAGAAATTGGATGTTTTTATGATGCTCCTCGTAAAAGATCCCTATATAAAAACCAATTATATTTTCTGTCTTTTATTTTCTCATTCTACAAAACTCGGTTACCACAATATTTCAAGAGTTATATTCTTAGCACTAGTGTGAACTTTTGTTTAATATAAACAAGATATTTGTCTTTTTTTATTTTATGGTTGCAGTAAGTTATTTTTTCTAACACTTTATCTGATAAACGGAACAACTTATTTCTTGTAACATCTTGTACACGCCAAGTATGTGATGTATCTACCGTTTTAATGGCACAGTATTCAGATGTATCGGCAGATTTAAATTTGATGTGACAGCCAACATAATCTAGTTCTCCCACCCGCATTCGTAACTGAAATACATGTGCACAATACATCCTTATATTGTGTACAAGTCTCATAGAATATGACACAAATACCAATTCAAAATATACTCCAGTAAGGGGACGACCATTTGATATACTGGGGGAGGGTAGAGAACGATAGGAAGATTTTTTTCGGATTGAATATTCATTTTTGTCTGTTGCAACGCATGCTTAAATCTTTTACGCTGCTTTGTCGACAGAATATTTATTTTCACTCTATACACAATGATTTCTTGCATTTTGTGTTGCAGAATATTCATTTTCATTCTGATTTGGGCAGTAGTATTTATTTTCAGCTATAACCAGGCCATGATATTTATTCATTTTCAAAATGTTCCTCCGTTAGAAATTATCAATTGGTCGTTCCCTCATTACTTAATTTGTTCTCATGTTGTATTGAAGCATCATTGCTTTTGTTTAACAACACCTTGTATAAAATATCCGAATTAAACGGTCGATACAGTTTATGTAGAACAATTTAATTAGTAGATGCGGTATGATTAACAACGAGTTCAAATGACATGAATGTTAGTCACTATAGATCACTCTACGACCCCCCCCCCCTTTTTTTTGACGATAAATGCATTTGAATGGGGACATATAGTTGGAACCCCCCCCCCCCCTTTTATAAATGGCTGGATCCAACTATATGTCCCCATTCAAATGCATTTATAAAAGGGGGGTTCCAACTATATGTCCCCATTCAAATAGTTGAATGGGGACATATAGTTGGAACCCCCCCCCCCCCCCCCCCTCTTTTTTTATAAATGGCTGGATCCGCCCCTGATTTATACACATTTTCCAATAAACGTTTGTATAATTATTCTTAAAAGTTACCAACAGACAGCAACCAACGAATTAAAGGTTCTTAATTGATTATGTGTGCATCTATACTACTAAAATAACGAGGTCCAATTTGTTAGCCGACATGACGTAAAACGACGATTCAAAGATTTCAACTTTATATGTAACTAATATACGACAATGGTGTTGTTTAAAAATTACACCATTCCAGGCCCTTTTGTTTTCCACATAATTAATAATATCAATGATTTAAGTTCCGGGTCGAATCCGATACCGATACGAATAGTATATGTCACATGTAGTTTCCGTTACCGGTTGCCTTCTGTAAATCCCTCCTCTATCAGAAGAACCTGGAATTCTTCCAGTATTTGTTTAAATCTATGTTAAACTATAGTACACTATTTAACAAGTCTGTATTTGTTTTCTTTCCACCTCAATACCACAATTAATTTTGGTTAATTAGTTTGGATAGTAAGATTATTGTAGTAAGAAAACCAGGAAGGGTTCAAACAGAAAGATTTTGAAAGCAGAGAAAACTGTGCATCTAACAATCAGTTAATTCAGTCACTGACCCGTGATGTCGCGGTGTTTTCTAGTGCATGTTAACATTACATAGTTTGTTAGTTTTTTTCTGCCATCATTTATTACGCATGTAATATGTAGAAGAGAAGGTTGTCGTAAAATTCCCTCATCAAATGTACCAAATTAGACTTGACATGTTATACAGAGTTAATAATCAGCAAAGTATCTAATGTATTGTATGTTTGTAACGAATGGTGCCGGATGTGGAGAAGGATCTTCTTACCATTCCGGAGCACCTGCGATAACCCTCAGTTTTTGGTGGGGTTCGTGTTGATCAGTCTTTAGTTTTCTATGTTGTGTTTTGTGTACTGTTGTCTGTTTGTCTTTTTCTTTTTTAGCCATGGCGTTGTAAGTTTATTACAATGTATCGACTTTTGAGTTTGAATGTCCCTTTGATATCTTTCGCCTCTCTTTTGTAATTAATAAATAATTATGGTTACTTTATGTCCAGTTTTATGGAAAAATCAAAGATTGAAATAGGGGAAAATATAATAACGAGTATTTACAAAATGCCCATATTGTTGGCATATAAAAGAATAAGGGCAGTGCAATTTCCCAAGGCCAGTATTTGTTTTATTCATAGTGTCAAAATTTAGAATATTGTTATTAAAAACCCACGTGAATCCCAATATTGAACAGTTTGTATAGATATTCTTAAAAATTACCAACAATATTACACATGTTACACATTTAAAGAAAAAAGAGAGACGGAAGATAAGTCGAATATAAACTGAAAAAGTCATGGTAAAATCTAAATTCAAATTAGTAAAATATTGATTTATACCCTGCTGATCAATTAGACGATCTAGTCAAAATCTTCGTTTGACAGTATTTACAAGGGAACATGTAGCGAATATGTTTAATAATATATATACATTTTACACTATTGTAGCAGGATAGTTCAACCAAAATTATCACTCAATATCGCAGTATAATCTTGTATACATGTGAACATGCCAAAAGCATCGTTTGTTAGAACAGAGGTGCAACCTTGACCTAGCTTTTGTATTCGGAATAGACATAACAGATAAAATAATTCAACATCCTCCCACAACAACACAAAAAAAAACCACAAAAAAACTACACGTTACTATTATTATTGTCTATTAGCATTTACTGTACTGTATCCGATTATTTTGTAAAGTATAACAGATTATTTGTACAGCGTGCTTTATCATGATGTGAAATTTCAGAATTGTAATTGGTTTTTATCGGTAAATAGCGGTAAATAGCGTGATAATAACTGCCACATGTGGAGCAAGATCCGCTTACCCTTCCAGAGCACCTGGAATCACCCCCCCCCCCCCCCCCCCCCCCCTTTATAAAAAAGCAGTAAGAGATCCGAAAGATATCAAAGGGATATTTAAACTCATATATCGAAGACGAACTGACAACGTCATTACAAAAAAATGAAACACACCATAGAAAAAAGAAGTCTGACCTGCAATTAACCGTAATTGTTTAGACCACGTATGCGTGTTCGCATTGAAGTAAACAAAATGGATGATACCAAAACTATAGTGGACGTCGAATGGACTACGCCATGGCACAACATAGAAAACCACAGACTGAACAATACGAACCCGACCAAAAACCAGGAGTGACCGAAGTTGCTCCGTAATGGTATTACAAAGCAGATCTTGCTCCACATGCAGTACCCGTCATGTTGCTTATAAATATAAGTACTCATTCAGTAGACATAATAATTATGGAGAATATAAACAACTCGACCTATCAACCTTAAAAATTAATAGCGAAACATACAACCACACGGGTTAATCTTCAATTCCATAATTAACATTGAATGCTATTTTTAAACACGGTGTATTATGCACATGGTAGTAGTAAATAAACAAAGAATTCTGTAGATTGTTTAGTATACCTCTTTAAAAATGCATTATCAAGAGTTATTGTTCACACGATCTATAAAAAATACAACATGTGTTTAACACAGACATTGTCATTAATACGCGATTAAATGTTGCTTTTGAAAATGTTTAAGAAATACAAAATACATTTATCAATCAATTCCATGAAGCGAAAGTAAAATTATATAACAGAAGGCAAGGAACGTTTGAAGTCTTGCATGGCATGGGTGTGATAGTTTATCTGCAAATTGACATTTTTAATACTTTTCTGTATACAGTTATTAATCATTATGACAGGCAATATGTTGACATAAGTTGCGTTGTGCGAATAGTGGAAATATTTACTTTTGAAACATTTTACATGTATTTCTGACGTCAAATCATCGATCATTATTTTTCAACAATTTTGTGGAGTATGACATAATTGTTTTGCTTTACATATGGTATTCGTGTTCGCTGTCTAAAACCTGATTCAACGCACCATCAAAAGTGCTTTTTTCCAAGTTAATCACTATATAAATCTCTCGATGATCGTTATGAAAAGATTTTTTAAACTTTACACCATATATGGATATTGAAAATATACATTCTTTATTTTTGTTGCCAGTTTTCCGTAATTCTTTATTTTTGCTCATTTGTTATTAACCCATCCAGACCTTTTTATAGGCGACACAATAAATCATACAAAATATAAGTTTTCTCTTTCTTTATTTATGTTCCCCATTATTTTTCCATACTTTATCTAACACCCCGTTTTTCTATAGTCCTTATTTTATTTTGGTCATTTTTTTATTCAATTTGTTTTTTATCATTTTTTATCATTATTCCCTTACGGAGTTTCCGTAAACTCCAACGAGACCATCCTGTAAGCGACACAATAAATTAAGAACAAAATAACACTTACCACTCTGAGATCTACGATACTCTCTAACTGACCATGTTTGGTATCTATGGAAACTATGTCGATGAATTCTAAATTGGCTTTAATTTCAACTGGGTGCAGACCTTTGTTATAGGGTCGTACACGTTCATTATATTTATGGAATGCAGTTGTGAACACGTGTTTTGTTTCTTCCTTATAGTCTATATCCCCATAGCAATGGACCGGTGACCTGCAAAGGAAATAAACTTTGAAAATATGGTGCTAATGATCCATTACGCTAGAAGCGCGGCACATCCAGTGGATTTAAGACCAACCAGTTGCGGTCAAACCGGTACAGTCGGCAGACCAAATCAACAACGACATTGAAAAAAACAGAAATTTAATATAATAATAAGGGTATGTGGTATAATTGTTTAAATATGAGACAAATATCCAGCAGAGTCCAAAAGGACTTGGATGTAAGCAACTATAGGTCATGAACAATATGCAAAACCCATATACCATATAGTCAATACATGCTTGAGAAATCTCATGATTATAGTTAGTCTAAACCCAACATTTTGTTTCATGAAAATCTAAGAAAATGTGCCGTACCTCACTTTTGGTTATTTTCTAACTGACTAGAGGCTTTTGACCAATATCCAAAATATGTTGAATCAAACTACCAAGAATATAACTGAATCTGGTATTAAGCCAAATGACATTACATCTAAATATAGAATCTGTTTATAATCTATGGACATACTTTGATGCAAACAAACAGAGACATGAACAATTTGAAATTAACATTTAATTGATTGATGTGTGCTTCATGTCCAGTAGACAATATTACATGCATATTCAGGACGAGGAATTAACATTAAAAGAATGAAAGGAAAAATTCAAACTGCAGACGAAAATGCAAATTACAATGTGTTTCATTTATAATTATTCTAAAGACAATTAAATTATATCTGAATAATTTTAATTTTGGATATAACACGTCTTCTGATTGGCTGAAAGTGTTTTATCTATCAGCTCATAGACATAATTTTGTCTTGTGACCGTGACGTCGTCAATGTTTTTATCATGATTTACTCCTTTTAAGAATTAGATTATAAGGAATGACTGTAATATTTTTTTGTCTATTCGAAATAACTTTTAAAATGTGATGCACACTTTTCAATAGCTACGCGGGTTATTCTGTGTGCGCCACATTTTTGATGTTATTTCTTCATAGACAGAAAAAATATTGCAGTCATTCCTTAAATGAAAAATTAACATTATTCTATGATTCATAGTGACAAATACGCAAACTACCTCACTATTGCCCAAACATTAACACTGCCAGGTGGCTGGAATTGTGCAGGTATTCTATTTAAGTATGGTGTGTGTTATTTAAGTCATACGAAACAGTGGGCAATACATTTACACTAATTATTTTATACGAAACGGTGGGCAATACATTAACACTAATTATTTTAAGACGTTATTTTATTGCACGTTCAAACGTAAAGAATCAAGAGAAGGGTATCACTATAGCTATATAAATTGTTACAACATTTTTGAGTCTGCTTCAAAGACAGATAATTTGATGAACGTAAGAGATCGATTAGTTAAAACAGCTGTGGAAAGACTGAAGGCGTAGTCTGCAATATGCTGAAATGTAGTTTTAATCAAAGCATGATATTAAAGATATCATTCAGTACAGTATGATCTTTTGCCTTCTGTTGAAAGTGAAAAAATACTAGAATCCTTTTGAATAAGTATATATATATATATATAATATGAAATCTATGTTTTCTCTGAATTACGTCAGCGAGAATAAAATGAGACCGTAATGACATTCACTTTAAGAACATTAGTTGCTTTGTTTCAAAATAGCAAGCTTTCAAAAGACAGCTATGAATTGATAGTATATAAATAACGAAACTAAAAACACAGAAAAAATGAAAGGGTCGTGTACTTGTTTTTGAGATACAAGTCATTGAACATTTGACGGGGAACGATTCTCTCTGGATGTTTCATTAATTTAATATTGACACCTTTTTTCTTTAAAAATAAAAAAAAAAAAAAAAAAAATAACAAGGAGTTTTTAAGATTTTCAGAAATTGCATTTTAATCTATATGTATCGAAATTATGAAAAGAAAAGGAGGAGTTAGCGGGCAAATCTTTGACTGTCACTAAATTGATAAATCTAGAAGATTTCGAATGTCTGACAAAACGTCAAACACAAGATCAGCAAACATCCTACATGTAGAACAATGTCGAATAATGAATTGTTGTCTATTTAATTTCTATTGGATAGCTATTTCTTAACTCTGTAGGTCGAAAAAAACAAAATAAATAAATCACATAATAAAGGCGTCGAATTTAATATGCCTTATCCGGCCGAATATAACGAAGTCGGTAAATTAAATTCATTATGTAATTACAAAGTTAAGAATGTTCTAAAGTTCAAAATTTCGAAAGTTCACACTGGTCACACGGACACTTAATAGTATGGTGTTATATTTTCGGTCCTGACTAAAATGAATTCTGGTGGTGAATGAATTCCAGCCTACCCATGAAATCTGCTCTGTCTCTCTCTTTCATAGTAGTTATAGCGTGTCTGTATTCCTGGTATTGAACAAGTTTAATAAATGTCCACATGATACATGTACTAGCTTATATTTTATGTTCCGTCTTTCGGACAAAGTTATTATTGGCCTGCAGGATAAATGTATTAGAAACACTGGAATAATATTCACTTAAGTTTTATAAATGGTCACTTCTGTAATTGTTTTATTCACTTTACGATAAATTGTCCAAAGTTTATTTTATTACGATTGTCAAAATAATTATAACACCACTTGTATAGTCTGTTAATACATTACACATTTGTTGTTATGTAATTGAATGATGTTCAAACCCTCATTGTGTTACACGAACATGACTATGTATTCAATTGTCAAACACAGACAGATTCCTCACAATTGGTCTAAATGACGAACGGTTAAGGTCGTGTCTCCAAATGTCAAAACTAAAGTCCAGGGTTTCCCCTGGGTCAGTTTTCTTTTTCGCTACCTCTTTCGCCAAAACGAAATTTTTTTCGCCAACTAACATAAACATATTTTTCTTACAAAACTTTCCTTCTTGCTAACAATAAAAATTCAGTTTGAAGCATTGTTGTCAGTCCGAGAAACCCGAAAAAAATAAACAAGATGGACGAAGTCGAACCGTTATATTTCTTTTGTCAAAGTCTTTCGCTAATAATGAATTTTACGCGCCAAAATTTTTGTTTTTTCGAAGGACCTCCAGCGGAAACCCTGCAAAGTCACTCTTGGAATTTTCACCAACTATTAAGTTACTTAGGCAGGGCATAAACATTGACATGATTAATTGTAACATATAGTATCGGGGAGGTCAGTGATAAACACATGGTAACACAGAGAAAGATGACTGAGGTTCAGCTCTGATTCTAACATCTCTAAAGTCAAATGGTAAAGAACAGATAAATCAGTCAAGATATCGCGACAGACCTTCGTTTATAGAAGACAATATACGGTGCTTCTTCCAATAGTTTTTTACGGAAGAGTGAAATGTTTTACGATTCTTGCGCATCTGCTAACAATACCATTCTGTCAATAATGGAGGATAAAATAATGCCATCAACTATGATAAAAGCTTTCAGATTGTAAAATAAAACCCAGATGCATTTAGTTATACTCTTGAAAAATATGTGGTAGTAACGTGATGTACGTGGGTGTTGCTTGGGGTTTTGATAATATAGTTATAATATAGTACTATTTTTATAGTTATTCTCTTCGAGTATAATTGTGGTTTGCTTACAAATGTACAATTATTTGGTTTTTAACAAGATTTCGAGAATGACTGTCAACTACTAATACATTGGACGGATGGATTGCTGTCTTGCGTTCGGTGGCAATTAAATGCATATTCAGGACGAGGATATGTTAATACAATGCAAATTGTATCTAAATCTATTCATTGTTGAAGGCCGAACGGTGACCTATTGTTGCTTACATCTACTTCATTTGGACACTGGTGAATAGGTGTCTCATTGGAAACTTTTATATACAACTTCAAATATCTTTGCCTACTGTATAAATTGCCTTTACATGTATTTCCCTATTTGGGAATCTTGAAAGTGGTTGTCTTATGTCGTACCTTCATAAGGGTCTGGATACGGAGTCCTTCATTTCTGTATTCTTTAATTTCTTAGGCCATTTTTCTAAATTCTTTATATTTTAGCATCTCATTAAGACATTGTTCTCTATTCTTTGGTTTTTTTATCCATTTTTCTCTATTCTTTATATTTTTTTGCCCATTATTCTCTATTCTATAAACCACCATCAACCTTAGCCGTAATTTGCAAATCTTTTCGTAATTTTCAGTTCTTAAAGCTCTACAACTTCGAAACGTGCGCGCGCATGCGTGTGGCAGTCAAAATTGTAAGCCAGCTATCTTTGATTAGTTTTTCAAGATCATCAATGCATCCTATGTTCAAGTTGTGACATTCTTCTTTTTGCTTTACATGTTAATGTCTTTTTGAAGCTTCGGTTATTCTGGATATTTTTTTCGAGGTGCATTCTATATATTTCTGCTTCAATAACATTGTCAAGCAAGTTTACTGATATAAACTAATTCACTTTGTATTTTCCTATAAAATGAAATTTTCTCCTAAAATAAGATTGTATCGTTATACTTCAAATGACCTATTTCAGCTATCACGAGAAACCCCACTCTTATAAACGATATGTTGGCTGCTCTGTTTCAAAATAGCAAACCTTTTAAATAACTGTAAGAAATCGATAGTATATGAATAAAAGAACCAAGAAAGTAGAAAAATGTAAGGTTCGTGTTGCTTTTTTTTTTTTTTAGATATTAGCCATTGCAAATGTGTTTCAATTTGTCACGAGAGACTCCCATATAGAAATTCTTCCATCCCATTCTTTTAAACGAGAGTTAACTAACTTGGAGTTTTTCCTTGAGTCAGTTATTGCAGAATTGTTTAATTCGGATTTTATTTCAACTGTTGTTTCATTTGTGCGGTCCTAAATTAGTATACGATTATTGAAAAAAAAAGATTATATAACCCGACAGTATCATCTGAAAGTCGAACTTCCAAAGGAACTAATTTTAAAAATAAATCTCTAATCTGCAGACATTATAAATCAAATTAGACTGTATTGCTTCATATATAAATTTAATCAATATTAAATGCAAAAAGCTATGATGTTTTCTAA